AGATCGAATTCAACAGTTCACCAATGACGATATTGTCGCTACCTAGGACAGACCTCAACACACGACTATCTATACCGTACCTACTCTCGCGTCGATCGGCTATGGAAGCAATGGATTGAATTAATCCAAGGAAATCCGGTGGAAGAGGACATTCTACAACAGTACGTCACTAAATACGGTGATTTTCGTATTCTCCTCAACGACGCTATTTCTACATTGGAAAGACTCGACCAAGAAAGGCAATTCATTGAAGCAGAACTCCGAAAAAGGAAGATAGACTTCGAACCGTACGTAGAATCGGATGGAGATTCCCAACATTCGTCAGAGCACCCAATGGCCCATCAGATAGCCCATCCAGCTTACGTGACTACCGCCAACACAACCTCCCAAATACCTACTTCCCAAACACCAGCAACGTCAAACATGTCATTCGTCACGCATCTATACTCAGCAAGCTAGATCTCCCGATATTCGAAGGCAACCTACTCGAATTTCCCGAATACTGGGCCCGCTTCTCCACCTTGATAGGTGACAAACCGCAACTCGACGGCGCTACAAAATTTTCACTTCTCAAGTCTACACTTCGAGGTCGAGCTCTACAGACGATCAAGGGTCTGGCAATAACAGCTGCTAACTATCCAATAGCAGTCGAAATCCTGAAGAATCATTTCGAGGATCGAGTAACAACGCGCCATATCCTCTATACTCGACTCGCCTCTCTCCCATCATGCGACAACGAAGGCAAAAACCTTTTCGCCCTTTACTCGCAAATGTTTGCAATGGTTCGCCAGTTCACAACGTATGAAGATGACTCAAAAGAATACGCACTCGGAGCAATTCTACTGAATAAGCTTCCACGCCACATCCGAAGCCGTGTTTACGATCACACTGGAAACAGCGAAAACCTCGTTCCAACTCAACTTCTTCACATACTCACCAAAATCGTCAGAAAAGAAGCAGTACTGGAGGAAATGGCAGATCGCTCCAACTTCTATAGTGATTTTCTCATGAACGCTGCCTTCCAGAACAAGAAGCCTCAATCCAGACGAAGCGAACCTCAACTTCCCACAAGGAAACGTCAGTTGCAGAAAACCTGCAAATTCTGCGGAGATATCGCACACAACTCTTCTACATGCACAACATATAAGACTCCGAGGGAACGCGTCAAGGTCATCAAAACGAAGCATCTCTGCTACAACTGCCTGTCTCCACGACATGCTACAAAGCAATGCCCCTCCAAGAACTCCTGTATTCATTGTAGCAAACGTCATCACTCGTCAGTATGCTTCACTCAAAATCCAGCAGGACAAGCAATTCAACGGCTTCACCGTCCAATGCAATTACGTCCTCCACCACTAGCGCCACGACTACCACTTCATCGGTCAAACGCGACCATCGAGAATCCTAACCAGGACAATATCTCAGCTCCTACTGAAGGCGGGCAAAGGCAGCGGCTCTTTGAAGTAGACTACAATAAACAACAACATCAGAAACCTGAGGAAACTCCACGAGTCTATGCGGCAGATATAATCAACGCAAACGTAACTTCGAAGGCGAGTCTTATGATGTGTGTACCAATAACACTCTACAATCCAGATCAACCGTTGCTGAGATTGGACACTACTGCATTCTTCGACAGTGGCGCCTCCACAACAATAATCAAAAAGGATATCGCTCAACGCTTGAATTTGAACATGGAAGAAGAGCAGCTTATTTCTTTCCAGACCTTCGCGAAACGTGAACCACAATCACATATGTCTTCGAAAGTCAAGGTTGGTCTACTTCTGGAGAACTATGAACAAATCGTCTTACATGTGAGGACGCTTCCATTCATTATGGAACCAATGCAAATGGAACTGCTCAATCAACATCAACGAGACGACACAAAGACGTGGAGCGTGAACACTCAACCAGGTCTACTGATAGGAAGCGACTACTTCTGGGAACTCATGTTGTCAGACAATTTCTACATCAAGCAACTGCCAAACGGATACAACCTCATCCACTCAAGACTCGGAAACATAATCACTGGAAAGCCTCTTCCAAGCCACCGATCATTTGTGACAATAAGCGACGCCGATGACGTAGAAAATCCACTGCAGCATCAAAAACTTGAAGAAATAGTGGAAAAATTCTGGTCCCTTGAATCTGCTGGAATATCTGATGAAATCGCTCGATCTGATGACGACAAGTGCCTTCAAGAATTTACCGATACCATACATTTCGATTTAGATGAGGGACGATATGTGGTGCAACTACCACTCAAAGAAGATCTTTCCGAACTTATCTGACAACTTCGACATGGCAATCTCGCGTCTCAATAGCACTGTCAACGCACTGAGCCGACAACCAGGCCTTCTGGAGAAATACCACAATATCATCATAGATCAACTCAAAAAGGGGATCATCGAAGAAGTCGACTACAAGGACAATCCAACGCTCTGCCACTACCTTCCACATCACGGTGTGATATCAGAAAACAGCAAAACTACAAAACTTCGATGTGTCTACGATGGCTCCGCTAAAACGGAAGGGAAGAGAAGTCTCAATTAAGTGCTCTACAGGGGGCCAGTACTTCTTTTAGAAATACCAGGTATACTTCTCCGTATCCGACTCATGAAAATTCTTGTTGTCGGAGACATCGAGAAGGCTTTCCTCATGGTGGGACTGGACAAAGATAGCCGAAATTTCACACGCTTCCTTTGGCTTCGAGATCCTTCCTTGGGAATGCGAGAAGGAAACATTGTCACGTACGTTTTCAAAAGAGTACCTTTTGGATTGATTTCATCTCCATTTCTTTTGGCTGGCACGATCCGTTATCACCTCAGCAATTACTCCTCAGCTTTGGCACAGAAGATTCTTCGGAATATCTACGTGGACAACCTGTTCATGGAAGCGACATCCAGTCACGATGCTGAGCTAATATACGAAGAAATCAAAGAAATATTCCGAGAAGCAGGTATGTCAGAGAGTTCGCAAGTAACGACGCGGATTTCAACAAACTGGTGGAACAACAGGAACATGCTCCAGTGGACAAAATTACGAAGATTCTAGGAATAAAATGGAACACTGTGAAGGACGACTTCATACTATCCCTCCCCATGCCACCAGAGAAGGAAACAACTTGGACGAAAAGAAAGGTTCTAAAGTATGTTGCCAGCATATACGACCCACTGGGTTGGATTTCACCTTCGACGCTAATCTCCAAGGTGTTCATTCAAAAGCTGTGGAAAGCACAAATTTCCATGGGATACAATCCTGTCATCTGATCTACTGCAAGAATGGACATCCATATTGCAAAACTGGTCCGTTCCGGAACTTCATCTCCCTCGCAGACTGCCATCCTCCGGTTCGAGCGATGTACACTACGACCTCCACATCTTTACGGACGCATCGAAAATTGGATATGCGGCTGTGGCATACTTGGTAACGACGGAACCCACCAATGCAAAGGAAGTTTCTTTGCTTATGGCCGAAATCAAGACTAACGCCATTACACACGACCGCCACAATACCTCGTCTCGAACTCTCGGCATTAACAATAGGAGCCAAACTCATGAACTTCCTACAATCTCAGCTCGACTTACCAATCCGGGAAAGCTACATTTGGTCTGATAGCAAAGCCGCCACCACTACCAGTTTTCATCAACAACCGCATCAAAACGATAAAAAAGAACGCTCCGACATCCGAATTGAGATTTGTTCCCGGGGACCAGCAGACACAGGAAGTCGAGGCCTAAACGTGAAGGAGCTTCTAGAATCAAAGCTGTGGTTCAGTGGACCAGAATTCCTGCACAACTCCGAAAAATGGCCAAAAGACATTAGTCATGTCACGGACGAGCTCGACGTAGAAAAAGAACTCTTCGCGTCAGCGTCGATAAATTACGAACCACTATTCGAGGAAGAAAGATTCAGTACCTGGACAAAACTTCTCAATACGATAGTCCTGGTTCTACTCTTTGCAGTAAGAAAATCGTCGAAAGCAAAAGATTACTTCTCCGACAAGAGAAGCCATCTGATTGCAGCAGCTGAAATCATCGTTTGCCGACAAGCGCAGCTGAGTCACCCTCCGGATGACACTACAAGACAGCAACTAAACTTGTATTACTGTAAGGATACCTTGCTATGGAAATCTCAAGGAAGGATCAATAATGCAAAACTACCACCTCACACCATTGAGCCAGTTTATCTTCCTAGACAAAGCTACATCTCTTCGCTATATATCCTCCACGTCCATCAGATCAATCACCACTGCGGAGTGGAACAGACGTTGTGTGAAATCCGCACGAAAATATGGATACCTAAGGGAAGGCAAACGGTGAAGAAAACAATCAACAACAATTGCTACATGTGCCGGAAAGCAAAATCCAAGCCGTATGCATTACCAGACTTTCCCATCCATCCTCGCGAACGAGTTACCCGACCACAATACCCGTTTGAACGATGTGGTATTGACTACATGGGACCCTTCCAGTACAGAGTCGACAACCTTACTATCTCGAAATATTGGATCGTCCTCATCACGTGTTTAAATACCAGAGCCATCGTCACTGATATCGTAACAAGTATGTCTGCTATAGCTCTCCTTCACGTAATGAGGAGATTCATCGCAACAAATGGATTCCCACGATGGATTGTTTGTGATAACGCCAAGGTGTTCAGAATACTGAAACGAAGTTCCAGGTTTGCTTGTTCAAGACGAAGGAAAACGACACAACTATAACAGACTATTGTGCAAACCGCAAAATTCAATTCCATTTCATAGCAAGCCACAGTCCATGGCAAGGAGGGATATACGAAAGAATGGTCGGTCTTTTCAAGGCATCATATCGAAGCGCAGTTGGAAAGGACATCTACGACATTGAGACCTTGAAGACTCTCGTAGCAGAATGTGCAGCGATCTGCAACTGTCGTCCATTAACGTACGTCAACGACGAGTTATTGCATATCCCTCTACGACCAGTGGACTTCTTGAGACCCACCGCCATAGTCTCCATCCCTCGAATCGAAAGGATCGAAGAAACCCAGGCGAATACGAATATACAAAGCGACCTCATCGAAATGTGGCAATCGACACAAGAAATATTGGATTTTTTCTGGAAACGATGGAGCAAGGAATACATATTGAGTCTGAGAGAACAATACCAACGTTCGCACAAACATCCGCGTCTGGAGCATAAAGCTGAACATCCAAACCTTCACGACTACGTCATCATCCAGGACGACACGTTAAAAAGAGGACAATGGAAATTAGGCCAGGTAGTCGGATCCAACGACGAGTACCAGAGGACAGTGCAGCTTCGTCTCGCGAATAAGGAGGTGATCACTAGGCCAATCAATCTCATAAGCCCACTGGCAGTGTTACCTCACGAAAGAGCTAATCCAAACGAAGG